GGCTAACTTAAGTTTGAAGACCAATGATTTAGAACTTTTTTTCCCTTCTCTCGTGTTTTCCTGTTTTAAAATTGCTTCTGAAGTTACTATTTCAGTATATCATCATTTTAGTAATAGATTTTGCAATTAATATCTCAGTCTGGTAAGAATTAAGACTTGTTGGAAGCTATGGAAAATATGACAGGAGGGACAATCCAGTTACTGATGTAGTAGAACTTTGGTTGGAAATTAGTGTTGCACTGAAAGAGCCCTTGGTGGTTTACCTCAACGTCATTTTAATGATGTGTGTAAAAAGTGCTCATGTTAATAGTGAGTCATGGCCAAAAACTGGGCCAAATATCTAGATAAACTGGTACATTCACAATACTATACAGCAATGAAAAGGAAGGAACTGCTGCTACATACAATTTGTAGATGAATCTCATGAACAATATTGAGCAAAAGAATCCATAGACACAAGTGCATATGGTGTTATTCCATTTATATAAAGTTCAAGCAAAACTAACCTATGTTGATAAAAGTCAGAACACTGGTTACCTTTAGGGGGCAATGACAAAGGACAAGAAGGAAGCTTCTGAGGTGCTGTTGACATTCTACAACTTGACCTAGACAGTAGCTACACAGGTGTGTTCACTTTATAAAAATCTTTCATGCTGTATACACACTGTATGTGCTCTTCTGGATGTATGTTATACTTTAATAAAATGTTTACTTAAAAAAGAGACTGTGCTTCTTGGCACCAAAATAAAACCATGGTAGTTATTTTAAATACTCTGCTTTACTTATCTGTTATTGTTGCTGATGATAATGATGATACAAAAATGCACACTCTGTTACTTAGACTACTATTTAGCCTTAGCCTGTGCAGCCAATGCAGCTTCCTCACGCCACTTAGCTTTCTTTGCCAAGTTCCAACTCGTTAAGGATTCATGTCGTTTTGCAGCCTGCAAAACAAAGCAAACACTGTAACTCTGGAAAGAATGTGTATTTTTAGGTAGGGAGACTAAGTTAAGTTACTTAAGTTGTTTGACTTACAGTCAGCAGTTAAGCTGACATTGGAAATTCACTCCAAGCCCCTCTTAACACACATAGACATTTTTACTGGCTATTGTAACTTCCTATATATAGAATATTTTCAAATAATTAAAATTAAGAAAAGGAAATCCCCAATGCCAGGAATGAAAGGAACTCAGAGGCATGAATTGGCAGGGAATGGGAAGGATGGAAGGAAATAGTCCCATCAGGGGGCATTGGGGAAATAAGATAGGCCTTAATAGCCATGGCTATAATTTTTTCTTCTTCTTCTTTTTTTTTTTTTTAATTG